AGGACGTCTGCAACAATCATGATGCTAAAAGAAGGTACAGATAGCAGTTTTCATTGACTTGAAACGCTTTCAGGAACATTTTGACATTTTCAGTTAGTTTCTTGTCGAGAGTCGTGGATTGTGTGTTGTAATTTCCTGATTGAGCAAGCGCACAAAAGGAGACAATGCACTGCTTTTAAATGGTTCGGGCTGACTGTACAGGAATGGTGTCCATTATGAAAAGGGGAACTTTACTGCCACTCAGTGACAACATCAATGACATCACCAGGTGCCAAAGTGTCTGTCTACACATCTCACATACAGACACACCGAGACACACGCTCTCTGTCTCCTCGGACCAGTCAGACAGCACTACCCTCCACCTGTCTCCAGTGTTACCTGCCCCAGTCATTACCAGGGTCCCAGATCCTCACTGTAAGTGCACATGTCAACAGCAAAATTACAGGGCACGCACACACATATTTGTTTTGCTTTTGAAAGGGTAATATCCGTCTGCACGCAAGTGATATGTTCATTTTCTCCCCCTCCCCACCCTTGCTTCTTCCTCCTCCTCTCTCTCTCTCTCTCTCTCTTTTTTTTTTTTTTTTTTTGACAAACCCAGAAAACAAAGCAGGTGAGGTTCAAAGACGAGACAGAGAAAAGGACATGAAGACAGGAGATGTGCAAAGATGATGGACACACATTGGTGGTGTGTGTTTGTGTAATGACAAGGGGAAACTCGTGTTATCTCAGCCCTGTTTCTCCAATCAGTGCGGACTGTACCTCAGTGATCGCAAACCACTTCTACTACTGCAGTCAAAGTGGCCTCAGCTTTGTGTCTGTGTCTGTGTAGAAATGTGTCAATCTGTGGCGAGACTTGAGCGTGGCGGTAAGAGTGCACTGACGAGTTTAACAAGGAGGAACACACGGTGCCAGAACAGAGAGATGCAAATCACTTTGACTGGAAGATAAAAATCTATTTTCAGACTATGACATCAGCTTCTCTTTTCACTGAAATGACTTTGATTACCTGTGGTTTCTCCATCAGTGTAAATGTGCCGTGGTGCGTGCACATGCAATCAAAGACTCCACACCTGAAAGTTGTGTTTTTGTGAAACTGTCCTTTTATTCTTGGATCTTTCAGCAGGTTGGCTTTGGGTAACCTGAGTGCTCTCTTTTCCTTTTCAACGTGATCAGCACAAACAATGACAAACTTTGCTTCTCCTCAGGCTGATTGACTCGGTCTTATTGTGGCTCTTGTTATGCGTCTTGCTGAAAGAAATTGTGACTGTATGTCTGAATAGATACTGACAGGATCTCATTAGATGTGGCATGGCTGTCATCCTGAAAAAGACACATGTGAGGTCACCGGTGGACAGCACTGGTCTTGTTTTCACAGCTCGAATTTAAAATGAATGCTTGCTCTTTTGCCAATAATCAACACGTGATATTAGTCACTGTATTTTGCCTCAGAGCAGGCATCAGTGAAGCAGGCACGGCCATCAAACATGAACCAACTTCACCTCTAGTGAGCAAACGCGCTGTTGTGCGTTGCATGATGACAAATGCATGTAGCATTTCCTATAATTTGTGCACCAATCACATCCTTCTTCCGTGCATGCTGTAATTTCCCTGACTGGATCCTCAATAACATCCTGTTGTCTGAGGACATCTGAGGGGACAGGTTGGACTGACCATCCACCACATCACACACGAGACAGGACAGAGCAGAGACTGTTATCCCGGCCCTGGCTAATGACAGCTGAATGAGAGAAACAGGCAGGAAGCTGTCCCTTGTGATCTCTGTATTTAAAAGCGTCCCTGTGTATTGTTTTGTCGCGCTGGGATCCCCCTGGACTACTATTATTAAGTTGGAAGACTGTGACTCGACTGTGACTGTACAGGGGTTTGGTGAGATGTCATGAAAGGAGCATGGGCAACCCCTTATTGCTGATGAAAACATTAGTGATGAGAAATAAATGCAGTTTAAAACATTGTTGTGTGTCACTGTGAAAAATGAAACTGCACCGAGCAAATAGGCTCTTGTCCATTTCTGTCCAGTGTTAACATGTTCCATTAACACATGTTTCTTTCATGGCAACCCAATAGTTGTCAAGACATTTCCCCTCGAAAGCACAAATGCCATCCTCGTGGTGCACGGCACTTTGGGAAAAGTCAGGGGATCGCAATGGTCATTAGGAGTCATCCTCTGGGGATCATTGCTTTCATTTCATATCAGGACCACAGTGGGGGACTGACTTTAAAGGAGAGAAACCACAAAAAGAGCAACAGAGGAGGGAGGCATGGGCATGCATTAGGCGTTGTATATACAGAACAGGCAGAAGAGGCAACAATACACAATATGGAAAAATAGGATATCAGTATTAAGTAAACATTTACATATGGAACAGGCTTAACTCTTAAAGACTTACAATTATCCAGACTCCTGTGTGAGTCTGAAAAGTGAAACAAGTGAAGGCATTCAGAGACTTCCATGTTGCAAAAGTCTGATTAATATCAGAATAAGATGGCAACTCGTTGTTTCTTGTCCAAATATTATCGCACAAGACGTTGTGAACGTGCGTCGGCTTACAAGAAAGGATTTCTGTGTGCATGTTTCATCTTGATATGTCAAACTGTCAAACTAGAATTTTAATGTTGTGTCTACTCATCTCCACTGATTGGCACGATCAGCAGCTTCCTTTCTGCTTTATTATTTTCATCAGATGGAAAACAAAAAAAACAAAAGGCATTGCTTCACAGGAGCCGCTCAGAGTGAAGCCGTGGAGATTTACCATTGAGTTAACCTTGTAGTAACCCTGTGCAGTGAAACACAGCAGGTGGTCGTCCGTCTTTGTCCGCAGCAACAGAGACAGGTGCTTCCGACTCGTGGGGGGTGGGGGGTAGATCACTGTTGACTCTGGACAATGGAGGAAAACAGGAGGGGGAGGTCTAATTCACGCATGGACACTTCCAGCCCAACCCAGCTTTATGTCAAACACTCAACTGCATGAACCCACCCACTCTACGGGCATTAAAAAAAGTCCATATTTCAATGCAAGCACAAACACGCTCCTTCAAACTGTCAGTGTTTTTCCCTCCCTGGTTTGTCAGGGAAACAGAGGCGTCAGAGGACAATAGTTCTGTGACCCATATCTGAGCCTGTTATAGGCAAACAGGAAGAGATCTCCCTTGCATGGAGGGGTATTCCTGACTCCAGTGTAAGGAAGAGAAGAAGAATGGAGTTAGGGGGAGGGGGTGGCATCCTTTGACCCAAAACTTCCACCTACAAACATTTCCGACACCAAAAGTCTATCAGGAGAGACCAAGTCTCTCATTCCAAGGACCTATCCTGACACAACCCACCCACACGCTTCAATTTTTTTTTTTTCACAGAGAAAAACACGACACAGGTGAAGCATTTCCCTCCACCAGCACCCAGCTCCCCTCTTTCTCCACTTTCACTGTGCATTCAGACACGAGAGGATACCACTAATTCAAATCCGGCTCAGTGGCGTGACAGCTCTGGCACGTTTCAGGCCAAATCAGAAAGTAACGACACTGCAGAAACCCCTGGACGACATCTGACTGTCTGATCAGCTGCGGTATCCAAAAAATGTTTCCTTTTCAACTGAAGCACTGCTGTGTAATTCAACCTGTCCCGAGGCTCTTATCTGCATAGCTGTAGAATAATACAACAACATGCAACAAGATCGCCTCCATAAATACTCATTCAATAACATGGACTGATGGAAACATATTTCTCCATTTATAAACAGAGACAAAATGAAACCAAATAGAGATAAAGCCCAACCTCACAGATCTCTGTTTTTTCTCTCATTTTTGCTCATATCTTAAAATTAATCACACACTTCCACTCATTTCCCCAAGTTATGTGCTGCCTCAGTGTGCCTTATCTCGTGCTATCAGTCATTGTGTAAGAGTAGTTGCCAGTGATAATGATGGTCAACTCAGGACTGATTGATTAAAGTGAGAGAGGAAGGAAGCAGAGGAGGATGATGAGCAAGAGAGAAATAAGAGTGAGGGGTTGACCTCTCTCCTTCTCTGTCACATATAGATAAGAGTGGTGATGAATATTCCCAGTGGACTCAGATAACCTTTAAACAGAGATGCAACATAACTTTTTTACAATTTCACTATTGACTGCATGATTTTGATTTTTTAAATAATAAGGCCATACTGTCATAAATAGCCTACTTTATCTGCTAGTTTTGTTATAGCTTTATTCAATATTCTGTAAGTAATTCTGTGTTGTGCACTTTGAAAGTGTCCATAGTTTCACAACATCATCAAGCTGGGTGTGGGACACAGTTCACATTGGACTGTATCTTTAAGTTATTCTGATTGGTGCAATCCCCAAAATACTAGTTAATAATAAGTAATTTAAATTTTTCCAGAACAACACCAACACAGGCAACCTGTCAGTTGTTGGATCTTCTCAACTTATCTTTCATATGTAACCAAATGTACAAACTTTTCAGAGTTAACTTTTAAATCAGTTTCTTTCTTCTTCTTTTTTTTAAGTGTTTTTTTCAGAGCAGTCTGGCTTGAATCAGGTAAAGTGCAGCAACACCATGTTAAACAGAAAGTTTATTAATCATATTCTATTTCATTTACCATTTTATTTGTAGGCAAATTAAATCTGTAGCAAATAATGAACTGCTTTACAACAGCTTGCCTCCATGTGTGGAGGAGAATGCTAAATGACATCAGTGTTAAAGCAGAGCTCATTGTTCCATTTATTTCCTCATTGCATATCACAGACAACTCATTACGTCCAATCTGAATTATGTTCATCAAAATCTTGAAAAAGATACTCAGTTTGGTTAAATTCAGTGAGCACTTATCCCCACGTTGTTCCAAAGTTTAGAAAATGCACATTGCCTGTTTTCTATGTTCTGTTCTCGTTCGCGTTCAACAGAGGGCGCTGCAACATTTGGGCTGCTCCCACAGCAGGCAGTGTCCTTCTCTTGGAAGTGCTCATTGACTGTGTGTAAGCAGGTCGGCTTCTCTGCCAAAAGCTTCAGCGCCTTAAGTTGATGTTTTTCAGGATCCAGAGAGTCATTTCAAAACCGCTATTTCACTCTCTGAGGCAGCTCTTTTTGTTACGCAATCCCCGAAAACTGACCTCCAGAATGGCCTTTCAGTATCCACAGGCTTACCGTGATGAGGCAGTTGTAAGTAAATCTGGCTAGCCGACTAGCCTAGCGTGCTAATAAGCCGGGATGCTTAATCATCACGCTTTTTCATTCATTGAAATGAGCGTCTGCTTTGTTAGCATGCTAGTTAGCTTAGCCAGCCCAGACTGACTTTGTTGACAAATGCATGGACGGTCTTTGCTGTAACTCACTACAAACCCCAAATTAAGCTCATTAGCTAACATTTTCCTTGCTATTTAGTTAGCATTGCCCACCGGCCTGGACGTGCCAGCTTGGTAGCATAAGTCTATCCTGTTTTTGGATGCCACACCCAACTAGTTCACATTTTAATACCTGTCATCACTGTCTCACCTGTCTCAGATGGATGACTATCATGGCTGCAAAGTACCAGATCCATACAGCTGGCTGGAGGACCCGGACAGTGAAAAGACACAGGTAAATCTTAATCAGACCCATAAATTACTTATTTAGCTAGCATGGCACTTGACATACTTACAATAGAATTATGACGTTACAGTGTTGTTTTATAATGGTATTAGTGCACAAGTCTCTTATGCCATGGTGTTTTCAAAGCACTGTTGCTGGTTGTGTTATGCTACTACTCATGAGGATTAAGTAAAGGAGGATGCCTTACTCAAAGCCTCCACCAGCCTAATGTTTTGATGATATCACCAAGGGCCTCTTCCAAGAAGCTGGGTTACTGAGTGATCTGGATAACTTTGTTGAGTAAAAACCAGAACCCCCGCCAGTCTGAAACATGACGTAAAAACACCTGTTCCGGATTTACTCAGTGAAAGTATTCAGATAAATCAGTACATCAGTTTCTTGGAATTGACCGCAGAGATAGTGGTATGTAAATGAGTTTGTACTGTGTCTTCCTCCTCCAGGCCTTTGTCAGCGCTCAGAACCAACTGACGTTGCCATTTTTGGAGCGCTGTGATGTGCGAGACCTGTTCAAGGAGCGCATGACAGAGCTGTACGACTACCCCAAGTATAGCTGTCCCTTCAAGAGGGGGAGCAGGTGAGGCAAGGCACAACAGAATCAGGTTTCAGCACTTAATTAACATTTGAATGTAATGGATGCACCCCGGGTTTCGTTATGAAATTTCATGGCAAAGTAATTTATGAGGATCCTGGTTTGCTTTCTTGAATCCAGTTGGCTGAATCTATTTCTCAGATAAGTTTTTTTTCTAGGAGCACAGATCTTTGAAGCTCCTTTTCACCTGACTGATCCCTCCCTTTATTTTCAGGTACTTCCACTTCTACAACACAGGGCTCCAGAACCAGAGTGTAATGTATGTGCAGGAGAGCCTGGATGCTGAGCCCACAGTCTTCTTGGATCCAAACACATTTTCTGACGATGGGACAGTTGCCCTGCGAGGTAAAACTGAAAATGAATTGTATTTAATACAGGTTTTGCTTATTGATTCTTTTGTGTGTGTGTTTTTAATCACCTGATGTTAATTGTCATATTTAGCAAGAAACCGCATGAAGTGGAACAAATATAATGCATGTTGTTTTAACAGCTTTGGTGTATTGTCATGGAATAAATTGCTAGAAATGTTGTTTCATGTGGTTTAAAAAAAAAAAAAAAAACTGCTAAATGTTGAATCTGTGATGTCCAAAAATAATCTGCTATTTATATCCTCCACCCTGACAACTAAATAAAGAATGTCAGCTTCCTTGTTTATCTTGATATCCTGTGTCTGTTCTCTTTTTTAAGGCTATGCATTCTCTGAGGACGGGGAATACCTGGCATATGGCACCAGTGCCAGCGGGTCAGACTGGGTGGAGATCCGGTTCCTGCGGGTTGAAGGTGCCATGCCTCTAGAGGACCGCCTGGAGCGAGTCAAGTTCAGCTGCATGTCCTGGACCCATGATGGGAAGGGACTTTTCTACAATTCCTACCCTGACCAAGAGGGCAAGAGTGACGGTGAGGTCAAGATAGTGTTCTCTAATCCTAATTCTTGCTGTTGCTGACACAACTATCCCTCAGATTAAAAAAATATTAGGGAATTGGTGAAGGTCAATACTTACTCAACACTTGAGACTAAAGATAGATTAGATCCTCGGAAAAAAATGATATTTTGTTTCTCCCCTATCTGTTTCAGTATGACAGATTTGTAGCTTTGTCTCATACAGCTTTGTTTTATCAGTGTAGTTTGTGAAATCCACACCCTGTTCACATCTCTTGAACTCTCTTATCAAACAGTTTTTTTGTCGCCACTGGGGGGCAGTGATGCAACTAAACTGTGTTGTCTCTGTCAGGCACTGAAACCTCCACCAACCTGTATCAGAAGCTATACTTCCATGTTCTGGGGACTCCGCAGTCTGAGGACGTGCTTTGCGCCGAGTTTCCTGACCATCCCAAATGGATGAGTGGAGCTGAGGTATGCCTGAAAGGTTATCTTGCTTAAAAAAAACAAAAAAAAAAAAACAAAGAGCTCATGTGTTCATGGATTTTCAGATACATTTTAGTGACTAACTGTGCACTGCAGGTATCAGATGATGGGCGATATGTACTGCTGTCCATCAGGGAAGGTTGTGACCCAGTCAACAGACTGTGGTATTGTGACCTTCAGACCACTGCTCAGGGTATTACAGGTATGTTCGCATGTTTTATTTGTAACTCTTTTATTATATACACTTTGTAACACAAATATTTTTTTTACCTGTTACAATTAAACTACAAATTCGGTGTTCATTTGTGCGTCATTGTGCATGTTCAGCGCCTTCTGTACAGGATTAAAATCACATGTCTCCTTACGTCAAGGACTTTTGCCATGGGTGAAGCTAATCGACAACTTTGACGCCGAGTACGAGTACGTGACCAACGAGGGCACGTTGTTCACATTCAAGACCAACCTAGACGCCCCACGCTATCGCCTCATCAACATCGACTTTGCCTCTCCTGCTCAGAGCAACTGGAAGGAGCTCATCCCTCAACATGACAAGGACGTTATTGGTCAGCTGCTGCAACACTCACGTGATCAATTATTCGGCGTAAACTGAGATTCGGATTTTAACTCCCTACCTTGCTGTCTTTCCTTTGCCCCAGTGTTCGCCACCTGCACGTACTCCAGCTACCTGTTTGTGTGTTTCCTCCACGACGTGAAGAATGTGTTGAAAATGTACCGTCTGAGCTCGGGGGAGGAGCTGAGGACCTTCCCTCTGGACGTCGGCTCCGTGGTGGGCTTCACAGGACGGAAGCGGGACTCTGAGATCTTCTACTATTTCACCTCTTTCCTCTCTCCAGGTACTAGATCGCTAAATACATTGTATTATTGATGAGTATAACAACTCGGTTTGTCTGGGAGCTATGTCACTTTATAGCATTTGTTGCCACAGACTGTTAAAGAGCTTCGACATTAAGTGTTGCAAAAATGTCCAGAGATTGCAAAATACACAGGGTGATGTTCAAAGAAGCAGTGATGACAAAAATGCTAACATAAAGTACTAAAGCCTGTGGGATTAAGTGTGCTTTGAAATTATTGTATCTTTCTGCATCGCTCAGTACATTTGGTTTAATTTCTTGGTTTTTTATATTGTGCGTCCAGAACTAAATCGTGCTCTATCTGAAAATGAAGGAAATGTGCTACAAGGATTAGAATAATCTTCTCACATGTTGTCACAGTGATTTAGAAATACTAGAACAGCACATGCAACACATGAGCTCTTGATTTTATTTCTTCCACCCAGCCATCATTTACCATTGTGACCTGACCAAGGAGCCGCTGCAGCCCCACATCTTCAGGGAGGTCACTGTCAAAGGCTTCAACCCCTCCGACTACCAGACCACCCAGGTAACTAGATTATCGGCTACTTTTTTCACATTTGAACACTTGGTCGTATTTGAACACGCAGTTCCCTCAGTTTCTGGCAAGAAATCCTTGCTTTTCTTTTGTGTTCCTGACAAGTGAAGAACACTCTTCAGCTGTCCCAGAGACTTTTCAGGAAAAACATTTTCATCAACTTGTTCATGAAAGCCGATATTGACTCAATTTTTAAAGCGCTGACCCAGCGTATGACAGGTATTAATCAAGTTGTCAGGAGGAGAAAAAAAAAAACAGCTGAGATGTGAGCTGGTTCGGTACAAATCTTTCTTGGTCTGTTGAAGCGTGACTGGAGGCTTTTTTTTAGGCAATAGGCGAAAGTCATATTTCTCAACTTATCGCTTTCAAACACATTTTTAATGTGACATTTTATCATCTCATTTATAAAATAAAGGCAGCTCAGCCTCTAGAAATACAGTGTCTCAGAACCAGATTTATTTTATTCCTACTGAGGACAGTGACCACAGAAGTAACATTATAAATGTGAAAATAAGCAAGACACAGAGGACAGGATTTTTCTTTCTCCTCTCTTCTGACTCAGACAGCTGAAGATTCAAGAACAGCTTTATTGTCCTTGAACGATTCCTGGCTCTGTTTCCAGCCCTGATAGTCTGTCTCTCCCCGTGGTTTTTTGCCAGATCTTCTATCCCTCCAAGGACGGCACTCAAATCCCCATGTTCATTGTTCACAAGAAGGGTATCAAAATGGATGGCTCCCATCCAGGTTTCCTATACGGCTATGGAGGCTTTAACATCTCCATCACACCGAGCTACAGCGTCTCCCGCCTCATCTTTGTCAGACATCTCGGCGGAGTCCTCGCCGTTGCCAACATCAGAGGGGGAGGGGAGTACGGGGAGACCTGGCACAAAGGTGAGAGGAGTCGCACTGTTATGAATCTGAACATGCACACAAACCGCAGTTATGGGCAGCACGTCTTATTTGCTCTGAGTTAATGTGGTTTTGTCATTGAAAAGAGCTGAACCGTGTAATAGGATAAACAGGATGAATTAAGAGATGCTGATGCAGATTTTATGACAGTCCTGCTGTAGCTTTTAGCAGCTGGTGTGGGTTTCACTACGTAGCTGAAAAAATGTACGAAACTTAAAAGAGTTCATGATGCTCATCAGCCCATTCTCATCCGTCTTGTTTCTTAAAAAAAAAAAAAACCAGCACAACCTTCTCAATTACAGACTTTGTGTTTTTCTCTCCCAGCGGGCATGTTGGCCAACAAGCAGAACTGCTTCACAGACTTCCAGTGCGCGGCTGAATATCTCATCAAGGAGGGATACACTTCTCCTTCCAAACTGACTATAAATGGAGGCTCCAACGGTGGTCTGCTCGTAGGTATGTATGCTGCAGGCTGAAGAGCAACACTGTCTGTTTTCAAATGAAGCCTGCAGCAGTTTGAGTTTCAGCTGCACAGTGACCACTCCCTGGTGTGATCTGACTGCGTGTTTCCTCCCTCAGCGGCCTGCGTGAACCAGCGGCCCGAGCTGTTTGGCTGCGCTGTCGCTCAGGTCGGCGTCATGGACATGCTGAAATTCCACAAGTTCACCATCGGCCACGCCTGGACCACAGACTTCGGCTGCTCAGAGGACAAAGAGCAGTTTGAGTGGCTCATGAAGTAGGTTCCGTCTGAACGGATTATATGTGATGTGTAAAAACAGTTTGTTGAATTCATTTGACTACCTTAATACTGGTGGAAGCATTCATCTTTAAATGTGTGTAGATACGCCCATTTAGGTTTTCCATATTCATCTTGGTATTGACTTTTTTTTTTTTTTTTTTTTTTTTTAAATAATGCTCATTGTAATTAAATTCACGCCCTTATTTATGATCATGTTCATGTGTGGAAATTTGGTCACCACTGCTGAAAAAAGTCACTAACATGGCCTGATTGGCGTCAGTCTACCCAAAGGGATATTAATTACATATCTAATTCCGGCAGCTGTCCATATAACTTCATTTTGATTATCAAAGTAAGAGCCATTACTAAACTGTGACACTGGAACTGAGGCGAGGAAAGGAAAACTTCAGACCAGACTCAAATATTGAGGCACATCAAGGAAGCTGAGGCAGTTCACAAGGCAGTGACTGATGTTTGCTGGAGATAACTCTCATAGCCAGTGTTGGGGCAGAATAGTCGATTAATTGAGTTGACAATGCCAAATTTGCAAAAAAAAAGTCCAAATATTTTCTGTTTTTTCAAATGTGGGGATTGTTTGTGTTTCTTTTTCACATACGATAGTAAAGTGAGTATTTTTGGGTTTAGAATGCTGGTTGGACAAAACAAGAAATTTGGGTTCTGGGAAATCATAATAGGCATTTTCATGACCTAGTGAAAATGATTCATCGATGAATTGAGAATTTAATAAGCAGATTATGTGATAGTTAAGATTGTTGTTATTAGCAGCTTTAACAATGATACAGGTTGTTTGTATGTTTTTTACGCTTGTGCTGATGTTTGGCCTCTCTCACCTCCCGCTCCTCCCGTGCCCCAGATACTCCCCGCTCCATAACATCCGCATCCCAGAAGGCAACGGGGTCCAGTACCCTGCAGTACTCCTGCTGACGGGGGACCACGATGACCGAGTGGTGCCCCTCCACTCTCTCAAATACATCGCCACCCTGCAGCACATCGTAGGCCGCAGCTCCAAGCAGACAAACCCCCTGTTCATCCTCGTGGACACAAAGTCGGGCCACGGCGCCGGCAAGCCCACCAGCAAGGTCATCCAGGAGGTGGCGGACACGTACGCCTTCATCGCTCGCTGTCTCAACATCTCCTGGGTCAAATAACCAGTGTGCATGTGTTTTTGTTTTGTTTTGTTCTTTTTGTTTTCTTTTCTTTTCATCAGTTACTCAAATCATCTTTGGAATACTGTTCATACCAACTGTTCCCATTGTTCTTTAAACTTTACATCAACAGCTCCTGTTTACCCAGCCACCATTACCACACCCATCAGGATCTCTCTGGCTGCACTAACACAAAACTTAGAAGCCAACATGCAGCACTCATAGCTAACGAACCCTGTCCTATAGGCCATGATTGTAGTCCTGGTCAAACTACATTATCAGTGATGGGTGTGGAAAGGGAGGGAGGGAGGGGTTACTTTCATGGTTACGGTAATCAGCCAATCAGCCGTTACAGTCATGAGGTCAAAGTGGCAAAGGTTAATTTGAAGATCGTTTCTGCGTCCTCCGGGTGCTCCAACTTGATGCATATTATTTATTGTTTTCTTTGTGCGCAGGATGGAAAGGCTGTTGCATGTTGAATGATCTCAGCTTGTACAATTCTGACCAGACCAGTATTGTGCAAATGATGATAGTGCTAGCTGACAGGATTGCTGTGGATGCGCGTGCGGAAACTTACGGAAAACACTTACCATTTTGTGTGTGTGTGTGTGTGCGCGCGCGCGCGTGTGTTGGTGTGAGTGTGTGTGTGCGTGTTTAAATGTCAGTCCCCACATTTTCTTTCAGACTGATAATGATTTCTACCTCTTGACATGTGCTGATTGTTTACCTTTTTAAAGGGAACAAAACACAATGCCACAGCTACAATAAACAACTTTTTAAACAGTGATTTATCATCCCGGTGCGTTTATTCTTTAAGAGAAGTAACAATGAGGTTTTTTTTTTGTAGTAGTAGTAGTGTTTTTGTGTCACATACAATGTGAATGACGGAACTGTATATTAATGAGTTTTGACTGTAAAACAACTAATGATACTGCAAATACACTACTTTTTGCTGATGGATTACTAGCATGGTGACCCATATCAACAATCGTTAACCACAAACCAATTCCTTGAGTGGTGCTTGAGTTATCAAATAAAACGACACTCAACAACTGTCAACTGCCGGTTTTATTTGAATTTTTCAAATTGTCAACTCTGTGACAGGTCCTGTTTTTTCAGAAGAGACTGAGAAAGTGAGGGAAGGAGCGTCTGAAGCTGCCAGTGTTGTTGTGGCTTGTGCAGGTGTCCAGTCTTCCAGCAGGGGGCAGTCACTCTGGAAATGAGCGACACGTGCAGCAGGAGCAGCAGAAAATGAGGGTGGTCTGACAGTGGGCCCCATGTGGGCTACTCAACATACATGTTTCGTATTCAAGAGCTTTTCTGATGTCCCACTTTTGTGTTTATAGAGGAAATTGTAGAGTGACTTTAGAGACATTGCTCTGAAAATATAACGTCCTCCATTTGATTAGTTTCTCTGCCAAAATCTTTTCAGAATGGAAATTAAATTCACCAAGAAAAACATAAAAAAGGTAGTGCTTTAGTCAGGAAAGTTGGATTTAGTTATGTTTTATTTTAAAATGCACAACGCTCAGTTTGCAGATTTTATTGCATTTAAAATGTAAAAAAAATCAGCTATTTAACTCATTTAGAAATAGAAAAAGTCCCTACAAAACAATATGTTTTAACTTGTCATCATAATGTCTTCACTTGTCGCATTTCCATTCTCATTTCTGTCTTTTAATTCAGGCGTTATTTTCTTCAAATCCAGCATTTCAGTCACTTGAAGCCATTTGGAAAAAATGCTGTTAGGCCCGGACGTCGGTGGACATCCTTGCAGGGTTAGCAGGACAAAACCATCTGTCCTTGTTGGGTAAAACGTTTTCTTTGAATTGTGATGTTTCTAAGCATCAAAAACTCACAGCAAAAGACACAAATACTTCACCTCTTTCATCTGAATACAAGCTTTGACATTACAGGAAACAAAACTTAAATATTTATTTTGGTAAGAAATGAAACAAACAGCAATAAGATACAAGTCACGACAATATAATAACGTTTACAGTTGGATGAGGAAATAAAGTCTCACTTGATTCAGCCCTAGAAAATACTGATGCACATAAATCTTTTTTGTATTTCTATGGAAATCGTAATTGGTACATGGAAAACAAAGAAAATGATCATGTTTCTTCCCTTTTTCCCCTGAAAGGTCTGATACTGCAAGGTTCATTTTTTTTAATCTCTTTATATTAAAAGTTTTAAACTTTGATGAAAGTATTAAGATTCTTAAGTTCCACAAAATTAAAAGCCAATCTATCTGTAAAATGTTCTGGCAAAACAAACTTGGCAACTAAATACAGAGCAACTTGTTTCTTATTTCAAACATCTACCAATGTTTGATTTGTTTTCACAGTTTCTGTGAGGGAAGCCAAGAAAAAAAGTCCTGAAGCCAGAAACAGACATACAAGCCAACTCTTATAAATTAGACAAATGAAATCAAAATCAAAAACAAACAAAATAAAACAAACTTATCCTTGTTTTTACTGATTAAAAAATGCCTTCTCACACAACACTAGACACACAAAATCTTAATTCTTTCAATACTTTAAAACTACATTGTGTTCTTCAACTTTTCAGCTCCATTTGGACATGTATCCACCTCTTCACCAACTTTAATCTTTGGGTGAGACTGAAATAACTTTCAGGGTAAATAAACACGACAGCCAAAAAACAATCTACAAAATAAAGAAGAAATTAAACAAGCTCATAAAATCAGAATTCTGTTTTTCAAAAACACAGGCAACAAGTTTGATTTAACTCACATTTAGTGAAATCATTTCCCTGCCAACAAGCACCATGAAGACTGCAAATGCAAACTGAAGTTGATAGGACTTGATAACAGAAGGTGGTATACTCAATACATAATCTAAGCACTGTGCATGTTAGTCACTTCCTTCAATTAAAATTATTTGTAAAAGCTCAAACATAAGCATTTTATCTATGTAATGTACACATGCTGTATAGGCTGCCTGCATGCACGTGCACGCACATTTGCGAGAGAGAGACCAGTGAACCAGCAGATGGCGCTGGGCAGCCCAATTAAACCTGCAACAGGCCCGCAGAGTAACACTGTGTAGACTGCTGTGTCTAATGAACTGGCCCAAAAACAAACCTTATTTCATCTCATCTGGACTCAGGCCGCGGGTGCATCATGAAACAAAACAGCTGCCTTGATTGAGTATATTATACACTGCTTTAATTATATAACATAAAAGATTCTAACGCTTTAGTTATAACTGTGAAATTGGCCCACACACTTAGCTTACAATGACTCTTGTCAACCTATGTTCTGAACTGTATCGTAAACTGGTAGCACGGGTCCTAATATCTGATTGGCTGACACATTTGAAGACGGTCTAAAATATCCAATGAACGCACACCTGTGACCACACTGAAATATCCATGCGCCAACCGGAAATCGCCGCTCAACCACTGCAGAGGAACTATATTACTCGGCGGAAGAGTAGGCCTATAAGTAAATGATTTCCTGGATGTTATATAATTGCTATATTTGTTATGATATTAGTTCGTTATTTTGTTTTCTGCACCCTGAGAGGGGCAGATCTTCAACAGCACCAAACTTTTTTATTTAATAATTTAATTCATTATTTTGTGTGTTTGTTTTTTGTGTAGGCCTACCTCTGTCAAACAAGCAGCATAGGCAATCCCTCACATGCTCTGTCTCAATGACTGACAACTGACTGATGGCTTGATTCTCTGTTCAATAGGCCCGTGCTTGATAGACTATGTGTTTAATTCATATGGCAATGTTTCTGTTTTTTAAATTCCATGTCACTGTTAAAGTTTTTTTTTTCCTGTTTAGTGGGAAGCTTACTCGTTGAACGGACTCTCTAAGCATTTACAGAATATTTGTCTCAAACTCTGTCTTCTTGATGATGTTTTCCTGTCGCTGCTGAAACAAGATGTTTTCTCAAACGCCTTGCAGCCTGTTGAGAGTAGAAACCATCAAGGTCTCATGGGAATCTCTTTTTCTTTCACCCTCAGAACGGGATGCAGAATTGTTGGATGCAGTGATTGACTGTAGTGAACCAGGGATGGTGCTATTTAGGTCCACCCCTCACCCCCCACCCCATCCCCCCTTCAGTTCTTTGGTCTTATCAGCTGCCAATCACTGATCTGGGACTAGTTCAGTTGTAATACTCAATCAGGGGCAACAAGGCAGAGTGAGTGAAGAGCAGATGTCAGGTCAGTATGGGAGGTCTGGGACTGCTGAAGAAGATCTTTTATAGGGTGACATTAAAACACAGAATGAAGAGCTTCTGTGTGACTGTTTTTTATCATGTGTGAGCAGATTGGATGTTGTGTGTTATAGGCTTACAGGGGAAAACCTTTACTTTCTCCTGGTTTTGAATAGGAGGTAGAGAGGGTGGGTGGGGGATGTGAAGTATGGATCTTTATCAACAAGAGAGAGAGAGAGAGAGAGAGAGAGAGGTGGGGGAAGGCTGGAAGCATGATGGGGGGAGGTTGTGGATGCCACATGGTTTGAAGAGCAATGATAAGACAGGCAGAGGACCGGGTTTGAATTTACCATTGAATCATCATTATCTTGGATATTGAACAACTTGCAGCTAAAATATCCAGAATAATTCAAGTGTGAGGAAACTTTCTTATAGGCCTACAATTAGAAAATGTTTGGGACAACTCGGATGACAGGATTTTTGGGAAGTGAAGTGACAAATGTCCCTCATGCTTTTCAAATCTGATGGTTCAACTGGAAGACATTTAAAAACAAATCTGCCTGCCCGCCCCCTCCCTCCCCCTCCCCTTCACGCCGCAGCTTGTGTTACAGTGTCACTATAAAATATTCATCCATGGAAAATCTCTTTGATTCCAGTCGGTCACTTATTGGCTTCCATTGCAGGTTAAAGTCAGCCCTAAACATGTAATTCAAACTGGAGCGTCGGCAGGCTGCGGGTCCAGCAGGCTCAACTCAACTCAACTCTACACCTTCCTCCACATTTTTGGCTCCATCTGAGGGGAAACCGTGAGAAAAGCTTTGCTCTGCCTGTGCCATCTCAGTCCTGCACGGAGGAACAGGAGGATGTCCGCTCCCTCTCCTACAGGTGAGTCGCTTCTTTTTCTTTCTTTCTTTTTTCTTTCTTTTTAGAATATGCAGAAAGACTTCTTGTTGAGCATTTTCTTTACTTTAATCCCCCCTCCTCCTCCCAGCCAACACTGAATGCGCTATTTAGTTGCAAAAATGTCACCAATGTGGAGCTGCAGAACCTGCTTTTCACTGACCTCAGATGACCGGCTTTTAACAACACGACAAAGTGATTGATCGGCTCTCATTTCAAACACATTCAATAAGGTTATGAAGTTAAAGATGCGTTCAAATGGAATCTCATCATTTAGGAGGGAAATGGCATGTATATAAACATATATTATGGCTAAACTTCGACTCCTTACAAGAGAATAATATGGGGAAGAAATGAAAAACAACTATTGAACAAATGTTATCGATCTCCTGCAGGATCCCTGTCTCCGCCTTGAAGTTAAAAGGAATATTAAGATGATCTTTCATTAGGAGGTTAGAAAGCCTGTTCACATGTAGCCGATCAACAAATGGTGGGGAACTTTGAAAAGGTTCAGTGGAGCTAAGGAGAAGCAGATGAAGACATACTGACCTGCCGAATCCCAGCAGAATAATACAACGAATAATAAACAAATACAATCAAATAAACCAAAGTAGAGCTGTTCGCGGATATTTGGTCCCATTGTGCGCAATTTTCTCTTTTTTTTCCCTTTTTTTTTTTGCGCACCGGCTGCAGAGGCGCTTCTTCTCCAACCTTCCCCCCCTTCTCTCTCTCCCTCTCTCTCTCTCTCTCGCTCTCTCTCCCCCTCTCTCTCTCTCTTTCTCTCTGACGTCACCGATATTTCATTCACATATTTCCACCCTGTTTACTCCTGATGCACGAGACTGTCTGTCGGCGGTGAAAAAGAGCGAAGACCACGTGCTTTACCGGAAAAAAATATTTATTCTTGTGATTTGCTTTTACTGTTGCTCACCTAAACATGAAGTGGAAGCTACTTC